TGGAGTGGAATGGAAGTGTTCTTAACCTCCATTGTACAGCTGAGAAGCTGAGGCACAGAGAGGTAAAGTGAGCTGGCCAGGTTCACAGCCGCAGTCTGTGGCAGAGCCAGGAATAAAATCTAGCGCTCCTGACTCCTAGCCCCGGTGCTTTAACCATAAGGCCATCCTTCCCTTCCGGATCTGTGGCCAGCTGCTAATGGAGAAACTGAGAAGTGAAGGGTTCATGCATGCTCCCACCAGGGTGATCCCTTCAGTGCAAGGCTGGGATGCCCAGTGTGGAGGGAAGTTGCATTGACACTGCACCTGCAGTAAATTCAGTAAAAGCTTCAGTCCTCAGGGTTCTCAAGCTTTCCTGCATGATCAGTGATCCCACAGGAAGGAGTGTGTGAACTTTCACCTACAGTTACATAGCTGTTGCAGGGCTTCCCCAGATGTCTTGTTTGACTGACAAGACAATACCTGTTCCCTCATGGAAAAGCCCTAAAAGTGTTCCCATTATTAAAACTTTATGGTACTTTTTTTAAACAACTGAATATGTACTTCTGTGTCTGATCAAAATGCAGAAGTAGTGGCAGTGACCATAGACCAAGCAACAAAAAGTTACAACAGGCCAAATACAGCACTTACCCGGGACTCAGGAAACTTGCTGTCTAACTTTGAGCAAGTTGCTATCCTTCCCTGTGCCTCAGTTTCCCGTATGTGAAATGGAGATCATTAGTGGCTTGAGAGAGATGGATGGAGCTAGTGTGTTGAAAGATATGTATAAGGGCTGTATCAGAGCAAGCTATTTTTATTTATTACAAATAACATACCGAGTATTCATGATAGATTTCGATGCTTTCCAAAATGGGCAAATGGTGCCATGCCCTATGGAACAGAAAGGGTCAGAGAAGCCAGTTTCAGTTCTGCTCTTCACTTCCACTTTCCACTGACTTCACTGCTATTGTTATTTGTACATATTCTTGAATTTTGGTAGTGCCTAGAGGTCCTGATCAAATTGGAACTCCATTGAGCTAGGTCCTACTACTATGTCGTGTTCTACTGACCCTACCCTGAGGCACTTAATATCGAAACAGAGTGAGAGGAGAAACAGAAGCATAAAGAGGGCAAATTAATTTGTACAGCAGGGTAGTAGCAGCACTGAGAAAAGAGCCTGGGTGTCGGGATCCCTGAATCTCACTCTCTGTTAGGCAGCATTTGGCCCATCTCAACATCTGGCTTTTAGCAACTGGCTAAGGTCAGCTAGGGAGTGGATGTTAGGACTGGGAATGGAACACAGCTCTTCTGGCTGTGTCTCTCCCCTGGGTCCAGAAGCACAATGATTTACAGCTAACTCGGACCATTCACTTCTCCTGCACCTCCCTGCTGTGCTGAACGTGTTTGCAAAACAAGCTCCAACCAGTGCTGAGGAGTGATTAACTACCTATAGACATAGCCTCAGTGCATATGAAAGAGCAAACAGGGCACTGTTCTTGTCAGTTCACCTTCCTTGTTCTATCCCCTTCAGCTTGGTAGCAGTTGTGCAGTGAGATATGTTATCAGGGCTTCCGGTAAAGCACAAACAGGAGAGACTTTTTAACCAGATTATCTATTGTTTCTCTCCCCCACCTCCCTGCTCTCCTCCTTACTGTGTAAGTAGCAAGACTTTCTACATGGAGACAGTTTTAGGTTTGACCTGGGAAGACCCCGCCTGGGTAAACCAGACTCCAAGAACTCTTTTCTGTTTCTTCTAATCTGCCTGGTTTAAAGTGCAGGGCTGGCTTTGCTGCTAGGATACAGTGTCTTGATGGGAGTTCTGTTTGCTTGTGTTGGTCTGTCAGAGAGAGGACAGGGTGGTGTATATTGTCTTCCAGCTATTACTGATTCTGGAGGAATATTACTGCAGCCCAACCTGCAGATGAGAGTAGCAACTGGAGCTGTTATAAAGGAGGAAAATGGAGGTAAGACAGGGAAATATGGCTGTGAATGATGAGATGGGTCCGTGGTTCTGAACCCTATTCAGACCAGATAATGTAGACTCCAGTCATGGCTGGTCCTCCAAGCATTGGTCTCAGGACCCCTGGTAAGCTCTGGCTCCTCCCAAAATACTCAGTTGTACTGGGAGAGAGAGAGAGGGAGCAGCTAGCCTTGTACCATGCATTAAAAGCCCAAGAGGGGTCCTTGTGTCTGCTCACTTGTCAGAACAAGGGCACTTCAGCTGCCAAATGCATCCCAGAATCTCTTGCCCTGGTTTTGTAACAGGATTTCAAAGGAGCTACTGTGAGCTGTTGAAAAGAATGGTGGGACAGACAGCCGAGACCCAAAGACACCCCCCTGGTGCAGCTGTGCAGGGGCTGCAGATTTCGTGGGCAGATACTCCAAGGTCAGAGACAAATGTTTTAGGACAGCCCGAGTTGTTCTGGCAGCATGCCCCCTGTGTGGCACTGTAGATGTCCCCCTGCTTAGCCAGGGATTCAGCTCTTATTTTGTTTCACAGAGGAGATGCTTGTCTCCAGGGGTGTATGTGGAAAATCATGTGCTCAGGGCAATTCCCCTGCCAGGCAGCAAAGGGGAGTGTTAAGAACACACAGGATGGGGCACATTCCACACTCTCCTTCTCTGCGCAGGAACAGAAGAAGTGATCGTCGGGGAGGCCGGAAAGAACATCACCTTGGTGTGCCGCAACGCATCCCAGCGAGCAGGCGAGGTGGACTGGTTCCACGGCGACCCTACCACTGTGCCTCCACTCTTCTCCTCGAACTTCACGCTGCCGAAAGACGTCCGCTTCTCCTTGGTGGACAGTAGCTCTCTGCGTATCACAGCCCTGCGTCTCCAGGACCAGGGCAATTACACCTGCAAGGAAGTGCTGGCAGCTCCTGGTAGCCAGTGAGTTCCTCAATGCGCCATGTCCTGTAGCTGCAGGAGGCTTGTCCTCATGGAGTCCTAGAGGTTAAGGCTAAAAGGGACCACGTGTAGTCTGATCTTTACATCGCAGGATATCTACACCACCCAGTGCCCACACACTACATCTAACAACTGAAATGAGACTGAAGGACACCCACAGGAGAGCAGACAGCTACGGGCTGTGGCAGAGACTGGTGGGGGAGGGGACGCTGAGGTGTGCCATTGCCCGAGATCCCTACAATGGCAGGGAGAGGAATAAATGAGAGAGACCCAGATAATCCAGTCAAGGGTCTTGCCCCCAGCACTGCTCCCCCCTCCCAGATTCCTGCCAATCTGACCTAGAGGAACATTTCCTTCCCACCTCCACATGATGAGGTTGGCCCTGAGCATAGGAGAGAGAGAATGCTTGGGGCCATCTCAGAGCCCTGGCGGGACCTACAGATGTGGCCTGCCGTTGCAGATGTGCAGGAGGTCACATGTGAAATGGCAACCTCCCACTTCCAGGGCACCCCTTGGGGGGGTGGTAAATACCAGGCTCGGGGACTGCTGTGGGGAGCGGCTTTTGGGGGTGAGATTGAATTAGCCAGGTGAAGGGGAGAGGGTCTTTAACCCACCCCCGATCCAGGTTATTTCAGCTGAAAGGAAACCAGTGATGATGCTGCAGCCCTGGCCCCATAGGTGGGCTCTCATTGCCCCCTTTTTGCTGCCCCTTCTCCTCTCCGTGCTGCTTTGTGTCACTCACAGACTCCCTCCCCAGAGAGCTGTCCCTTTCGAACGCCAGTAACATGTTTGGGCACAGGCAGGTTAGCTCCGTCCAGGGGATGACAGGTGATGTGAGCAGAATGAATGCTTGGGGCAGGCAAGTCGGGAGACAAAGCCAGTTGCACAATTGAAATGGGGAACACATTTGGCCCACTTTGGGCTGCTACCCTGGTAGTCTGCCCCAGCTAAGCCAGATTGATCAGTGCTTGGATGGCAAAACACAGGCTGTGGCTGCAGGATGGGTGCTGTTCATTCAGCAGATGACAGTTTTCCCACTGAGTCAAAGCCCTGTGGGAGATGAGAGATAAGACCAAGGACCAAGCTGCCTGTTCCATCTCCTTTGGCACTTGCTGTGAGAGTACGACCATTAGGGCCAAATTTGAGTTGGAGTAATTGCTTTCTGCTGGTTGAAATTGCCCTTGTAGCTTCAGCTCTGGACAGAATTTGAACGTGTGCAATAGAGCTGTGTGTTGCTAAATGGCTACTAAGTTTTTCCCCAGAAGTGGCTGCATTTCACTGGTGAAGGTTCCTGTGTGTGTAGTCTGAGAAGCATGTTGGAATCCTGTGGAATTAAGGGCATTGTGTAACTATATGATTAATTTAGGACACCTGCAAGGGGGTCTTAGTATTCCTCCACTTCCAGATTCTGCTTCCCACGTCTTCCACGTTTGACCAAGTCTTCTGGATCACTGCTCGGATGTCTGTAGAACTGCATCCAGGGTTTTGCCCTCTGCTCCCTGGAAATCTAGCGTTGGTGGGATGTGTCAGGATTGCAGGAGGAGAATGCAAATCTTAAAAACCCTGCACCTAGGCAGGTCCCTCCTTAATCCCCTGCAGTTGCCTACTGATGTGTCTCACTTCTCACGTGGCAACAGCTACCTCTAGAGATTAAAGGGGAGCATGGGCTATCTGCCAATATAACTGTTACCCAATTTGGCTTGGCACAGGGGCTACAATGGGGACTGATCCCCTAGGGTAAGGCTGGGCAAAATACAACCCGGGGGCTGGATCTTCTCTGCCAAGCCACTCGATCTGACCCGTAGACCATCCTGCCGGGATCCTCAGGGACATGCAGCTGTCTCGGTTTAAAGTGCAGGCCATGTGGCTCTCTGCTCTGCAGAGAGGGGCAGGCTTTGTGTGATCTCCTGGCCCCCAGCCCAATCCTCAGCTCTTGTAGGCTGGGAACAGTCAGTCAATAGAAATTGACCTCAGCTAATCTCTCAGGGTATGTCTACACTACAATGTTAGTTCGAACTAACATTCATAGCCGCTACACTAGCGCTCCGCTAGTTCGAATTTGAATCGAACTAGCGGAGCGCTTAGTTCGAACTAGGAAAACCTCATTTTACGAGGATTAAGCCTAGTTCGAACTTACTAGTTCAATTAGCAAAATGCTAATTCAAACTAGTTTTTAGTTCTAGATGCGTTAGTTCGAATTAGCTTAGTTCGAATTAACTAATT